AAAAAATGGCAACGTCGCACATCAGCAGCCGAAGGTGAAAATACGGCTCGTGTTGTACACCTTACTGCTCTGTGTAATTATTTCAACGTAAATTGAACATAAGGGACCCCCAGTTCGCGAATGACTTAGTGATAAGGCGCATTCACATTGCGCAAAAGCGCATGTGACCAACTTTGAGCGGTCATATCTCGGAAACTAAACGTTTCCCCGGGATGATCTTGTGCTCGTTAGAAAGGTGAGAATCTGAACTTTCATTTAGATTGGTTTTTGTTTAGATTCCGTCGATTCCACGATCGTGGTAAAATAAAAACTACATTTTTGTGTCTATCAAGAAGTGCTAAAACCGCGTAAGTGCCACTTAAAGCCAAGTAAACCCCAGAAAACTATATACCACTAGAAAGCTCTATTTAAGAGGAACATTTTAAAAAAAAGTTCATTGAAATCGGTTGAGATGCGGCGGAGATATGAATTTTTAAAGGTTTTCACTTTAAAAAATGGCAACGTCGCAACCCGGCGCTTCTAAGCAAAACGGCGACCGGTTTTGGGCGTCTGGGAAGCTACTGTATCACCCCAAGTGATCAAAATTCGAAAATGCCTTGAGGCATTTTTGACCGTTTTTTCACACACCTCTTTGTATTTAAAAGTTTTAAAAGGTAGATTATCCTTACAGGCGGCGAGAGAAAGTATTATCAATCTGGAACGCCACACGGTGGATCGAGTCAAGGGACGAGGTCGGACATGAAATTTTTGACAAAAACTGCGAATTTTGATGTTTATTTCGTCACATTTTGAAGTTCAAGGGGTGCTCCTTGAAGAAAATTTCACGAGAAAACCAATGGAGCCACTTTTAGAACCTCAAAGTTCTGTTTAAACGGAGTTATAAGCGTTTAAAGTTTCCAAATTTCGTCCGACCTCTCTATTGACTCGATCCACTGTGCGCCATAAGAATGCTTGAAAAACCGAGAGCGGTGTCATCTCGGTGCTTTTCACAGAGATGTCTTGGTCTTTCTTAAAACTTCCACTCTACCCTATTGGCTCGTTTAAAAAAGAGTCATTGCAATCGTCTGCGTCTCGTCCACAAAGGACGGAAATAGATCAAGGCATCCTTGGTCACCGCCTCGACAATCGCGCCAGACGGCCGAGAGACAGCGACTTTGGTCCCAGCCCCTTGATGCAACTATTCGCACCTCCCGGTAGTCTGCGTTGCATATCCGCAATAATGAAGGCGTTTCGTACACTCGTGAAATACGGTCATAGACAAAGCGATCCTCCACCGGCCTCAGCGGGTCATTTATTGAAATTGTGTGTTTGTTGAGCGGACATACATGGATTGCATTTTGCAAAAAGGAACCGCTAGCATTGCAATGTTGCTAAGATTGTGCAACTTCTTTTGTCTAGGAGGAAAAGCCCGATTATCTATTGGACTGCAATTTGCAATTTGGAACTATAGATTCTGGCCCGGTTTAAAAACAACGTATGTGCCATTGGTTTCCCTATGCACATAAGTGTTTTTTCAGATGAGCCAGAATTTATAGTTCCAAATTGCAAAATGTAGTCCCATTAATAGTTTCTATTTTACTCGCTAAAAACTGTAAATTTAAGACAAAAATTACCATCTAAATTTCATAGTTTTTCACGATTTCCGCAATTTTATCGCAAAAGATGAAGTTGCGCAATCTTAGCATCACTGCAATGCTAGTGGCTCCTTTTTGCAAAATGCAATCCACATGACATAGGTTAAATGGCGGAGCGTGATTGGTCGGGTATGTCTCGTCGCTGCTTTGTCGTGCCTTTGTCATACGGAACTCATTGCAAGCTAAAGGCACTTCTTGAGTGCCTACGTCATTCGGTGGGGCGGTGAAGCGAAAAGGAAGGCGAGTATTATAGGAAATCGTAGCACGGTAAATTATCGCATCGCGGGCTCACGGAGCCGCTCTGAAAGAGAATTCTGAAACGATATCGATTGAAATGAGACATTTTCCCGATTATTAGGGGTTTTTTCTCTTATCAATTAATGAATATTCTATGAGGTAGCGAAGTATCAATCGAAGCAAATAAGACTTGTAACCTCTTTTGATTATTGCCTCATAGAAATGTTAGGAGCCTCTCGACTGACTGTTTCCATCTACTGTCACATGATGACTTTCTTCTGGCAGCTAGTGGGCCCAGCGGGCCGATCACTGAAATTTAAACCAGCCCGATAAGACATCGAATTGCGATATATTGCACGGTTAAGATAGGGCTATGTCTTGTCCTAAGCGGCGACATAGAGTCGATGACATTTCAATAATCAACCCGCAGTTCAGCAAAATGAACCAAGTCTTCTGGGCAAGGGATCTGCTCTTTCAGTGAATGGATTGGTAGACCTCCCTAAGGATCACTATGTGATTGGTTCCTTTCTCTGCATTGAGTTCATCGACAGATTATTTGAGGGGGAACCAAAGTTTTACTTGGTCCTTTTTTCTGAATTCATCTGGATCGTTTTGAACCCAGGAGAGGGGGGGGGGGCAAGCCATTAAAATATAAAAAAATATATTTTCTGCTGCTAAAGTTTCCTCTCTTGATCCAAAGTAAACAACTAAAGGTCCTGTAATTTATTATCAAATTTGAAACGAAGTCTTATCTTGATAAGAAATAAATAAAAAAACTACCACAAGTAGACCCCTTGTTTTTCAAAGAAGTTGTCTCGTTTCCGATAAAGTTGACCACATACAATTGAGATGTTGCATGTGTGAGGAATTTGCGATTTGACTATGGATTATGTAAAAGTTCGCGAGAAACACGATGGTGCCACTGGTTTTCTCTGAAATCAACTCCCAAGCTCAAAAAAGCTCTCAAGTTGAGGCCAAAATGGAGGGGATATCCCACGCTATCCTGAGAGTCCACATCTACATCAAGACAAACTCTCCATGCGGAGATAGGGAGCAAATACATTAGCAGGGTTGCCGTGTTTTCAGTTCAGCCCTGTCAATATATTTGCTCCCTATCTTTGCATGGAGAGTTTGTCTTGATGTAGAGGTGGACTCTCAGGATAACGTGGGCTATCCCCTCCGTTCTTGCCTCAACTTGAGAGCTTTTTTTGAGCTTGGGAGTTGATTTTAGAGAAAACCAGTGGCACCGTCGTGTTTTTCGCGAACTTTTACATAAGAACTAACGGTCAAATCGCAAATTCCTCACACATGCAACATCTCCATTCAAGTGAAGATGGCTGCGTTGAGAGTGTCACATGACCGTGTTTTCTGATGCTTGAGTTCTACAGGAGCACAGGCGAGAAAATAATGAGATCCGTACCAACGCCAAGTTTTTACGTACATTATTGAAAGAGATACGAACTTCCGAGGAAGATAGTTTAATGCCGTAATAGACCGTGGTGTTGCGGTCCGCGTTTCCTTTCAGCTTGGTTCAATGACGTCCATTACTGTGTTTTTCAGACAACAACTCCCTAAGTTGTGGATCTACTGATAAACCAGATGCTTGACTGAACTAATTTTCTGCAACTAATCTACGATTCTCAACTATCAACACGATTCTGTCAATTGCACCAACTAGCCAACTGAGCCAACAAATTCGTTAAGTAGTCACGTGTGATTTGACCTCAGCATCCAAGTGTGGTTCGCCTGGGCATCCCAGCTAATGAATTTCGTCAAAAATGAATCGGTTGCCCATTTTAGCAATGATTCCGTTAAATAACACTCGCATTGTCCGATTGTTACACTACTTTTACCGAGGGTCGTTTACGTAATGGGAGAAATCGCAATAAAGTTACTATGCTTTCAAAACTGTCGGTGTGGTTGCCTTTCCACTTAATGAAGGCGCCGATCATTTATAGAATGTTTTAGTCACCTCTCGCGCATTTATTATAATCACTTTCATAGCTATACGTTCGGTACTAAGCAGTTTTGGTAACTGACTTGTTCCCTTAATAATTGGTTCACCATGTTAATAGATCAAGAGCCATGACAAAGGGGACACGTTAGGTTCCAAAATCAGCAGAGTCAAATGCATCACTGCATTAGGTGCTTGAGGTGACCTCCGCAAAACACATTTTTGTTTTAGACTCTAAAATCAATTTTCGATTAAAAATTGCAATTCCACAGTGATATTATCCCATCAGAGTGAATCTTTTCCTTCCAGGTAACCTGAACAGTCAATTTTCTGATGAAACCCGAAGAAAATAACGTATATAAAATTAGGGTTCACGGTGGAAACGTTAGGGTTCACAGTGGATATGGAAACATTAGGGTTCAAAATCGCCCCGAATTAGGGCTCAAATGCATCAGGTGCCTGAAGCGACCTCCTCATCGCATTATGTCGCGACGCACGTATCTAGAGTCAATTTTCTGATGAAACCTGAGGTCCGTAACATGTATATAAGTTAGGGCTCACAGTGGATGTTGAGACATCAGGGTTCAAAATCGCCCCGAGTCAGGGCTCAAATGCATCAGGTGCCTGAAGCGACCTCCTCAACGCATTATGTCGCGACGCACGCATCTAGAGTCAATTTTCTGATGAAACCTGAAGTCCATAAGCCCACATAAAACTTAGGGTTCACAGTGGAAGTGGAAACATCATGGTCAAAATCACCCCGAGTCAGGGCTCAAATGCATCAGGTGCCTGAAGCGACCTCCTCAACGCACTATGTCGCGACGCACGCATCTAGGGTCAGTTTTCTGATGAAACCTGAAGACCGCAAACCATAACGGTAAGTCAAAACCAGGGAGCACAATGGATGTTGAAACATTAGGGATCACAGTGGATGTTGAAACATTAGGGATCGCAATGGATGTCGAAACATTAGGGTTCCAAATCGCCCCGAATCAGGGCTCAAATGCATCAGGTGCCTACTCAACGCATTTAGAAACGAGAACGTACCTCCATTCGTGCCAGCCCAAGTATCCAAACCACAGGGCGAACATGACGACAGCGTAATCCGTTCGTAGCACCTCGAGCACGCACTTCACAACACCTCACACGACCCGACTCATCCTGGAGCGGGAATCAGCTGACGGGAGGGCGAGGGAAGACGCTTTCGGCTGGAGTTTCAGCGTTTCAGCGTTTCAGCGCACGGCGCTCATGCGGCGAGGCTCAAACCGCGGTCCGGGCATCTCTAACCTTAACACTCCGGTGCAAGGAGTCTAAAATTAAATAAAACGCACACCGAGAACTCGAACGCACTCACACAGGCGACGGGAGCGATGCTCCGCGAGAGGCTCCGCTTTTTCTGCGTGAGAGGTTAGAGCCCGCGCCGACGGGGCCGGGGGACCCGCGGGTCTTTGCTCCTTATTGATCGGGACACCTCACCCGCCTGACCTACATTCCCGCTTCATTCATGGTCTGGTCCCTCCGTCATAAACTAGGACTATTAATCAGGCGAGCCGAGTCGAGTCCGCTCGACGAGTCGGGATTCGCGAGTCCGGAATTTTCCGCGAGGGAAATCGATTTCCGGCTCGCTTGCGCTGCACGGAAAAAGTGACTTTGATATGGATAGCATGTAGCACAAAGGAACCAGCACAATTCAGGGTTGGACTGGCCATGGGGGCGGGGAGGCGATCGCCTACTAACAATTTGCCCCCGCGGCGAATTTTTTTCGAGTCATCGTTTTTTTCCCGTAATGTTGTAATTTTCCTATCCTTTTCAGTCACTAAAAGGCCCCAAAATCCTTGAAAATCTGACTCTAAGAAACATGAAAGGTCGCCTAAAACTTGTGTGATGAAGGGACCCCCAAAGAATCCTAAGAATGGGTTATTTTGAAGTTCATGTACTGTAGAATCCAACTCCAATAATGCTTAAAATTGCGTTTAAGAAGTGCGAAATTTTCAAAATTTTCCGGGGAGGGCCCCCGAACGACAGGAGGGGCCCCCACATTTAGGCCGCCTCCTAACTTTTCGACTACCAGTCCGTCCCTGGCACGATTAGAGTGTTATTTTCAAAATACTCGATCATAATTATTTTCTTTAAAATTAGCAATTTTTTGGTGAGAAGCAAAAACTTTTTAATACTCTGGGAGACTTTTTAGATAATTATGAAGAAGCGACATTTTTACAACACTCTAATCGTTCTAATTTAATCTAAAAAGGATGCTCCTTCATAATTTTTTAAAAATCCTCCCAAAATATCAAAAAGTTTGCTTCCTACCAAAAAATTGCTACTATTAAAGGAAAAAAATCGATTAAATTTTAATCTTGTACATATATTAGGTATATTTAAAAGAAGAGAAAAGAAGAAGTTGCACGATTTTGGAAACACTGTAATCGCGGTGGTTCCTTTTTACCAAAATGCGATCCATAAAAGCATAAAACGAAGTGGAAAAATGGATCGCATTTGGCAAATAGGGACCAGCGCCATTATAGCGTTTTCAAAACTGTGCAACTTCTTCTTTTCTTTTAGAAATACTTGATATGTGAATAGTTTTTAAAATTTACCCAATTATTTTCCTTTAAAATTAACAATTTTTTGGTGGGAGGCAAAATCTGTTTGCTCTTCTGAGAGATTTTTTTAGGTGATTATGAAGAAGCAACATTTTTACAACACTGTATATTCGAGCTAGTATCTATTTGCTAAATGCGATCCATATGAGAATTAAACGAGGTGGAAAAATAGTGGTGGGCTCACACTTTTTGTGAGCAAAACAGGGCGAGAAAATTAAAAAAATTCCGATTTAAATAAAAAATTTGGGCTCTAGTCAGCTCTTTGAGTGTGGACTGGACTCAGCACTTATTTTACCACCTTCTAACATGCAATTCGGGCCAAACTTTCAGGGGTTTTTTTTTAAATAAAGGGTCACACAATTTTCACCTCAATATCGGAGAAAATTCGCGAGTTTTATATCAATACGAGCATAGAATTCATGATGTCCGTAATTTGTGATATACGTAAAAGAGCTATGATTTTCCTTCAATTTCGCTTGATACCACATACCTACTCCGGAGTTCGAATAGTTGCTCGCCTGGTTCCCGCTAGTATAGCGACATTTCACTGCGCGACACTTCACCGCTTTTCATCGCGTTATTCCCGAGAACGCGCATTTATACTTGCGATTTGGAACAAAAAATGAGAAATTTCGCGATAATCACTGCGATATCACGGGAAATACGCGAGTTCTCCAGTGGTCTTGTAAAATCAAATAAAATTCCCCGTAACAGAGGCGGATGCAGCAATTTGGCAACACCGAATTTCCTCTACTTAAACCTATGCTAAATAATCGATTTTCTGGATCCGCTAATAATGCGTGTTCGCCTCATATCGCGACACAAACGAAACTTCTCCGCCGGATGATTAAGAACGTTCAAGCATAAATATTTGTGAATTCCCCTCCCCGCGAGCTTTCGGGAAAAGGGCCCTCAGCGAGAAATTGCGTTTGAGAAAAATGCATTTGAAGTTTCCATGATACTTTCCAGCCACTGACTGAGACTTTCCATTGGAGCGTGAACTCTGGCTTTCGATACAATTCACCGTCAGTGGCCGGAAAGTAACGATGGAAATCTTCAAATGCATCAACCCAAACGAGATTTATCGATAGAGGCCCCTGTTCCTGACTTCCTGAAGACCACATCAAGGGTTTTAATCAAGCTTTAAGTATGGTATAAACAACTCTCTTGTAAGGAGTCGTCCGTATATTACGTAGCGCTATATGGGGGAGGGGGGCGGGGGGGGGGGNGGTCAAGGAGAGCGTTACACAATGGACCACTAGACAAGGTACGAATTTAAGCAATCTGATACATGTTTCTTAACCAGAATTTCACGTAAAACACGATTCGCGCAACGAAAATTACTGAAACTAACTCCTATCGAAGATATTATCGTTTTTATTTCACATTGGTTACGAGGAATTTGAACTGCCCGCTCTCAAGAAACTCAAAGCTCTACGTGAGTCAAATCGCTCGCACTACAACGGTTTCAGAAAGCTTCTCAATCGAGCAATGTTCATTTTCCACCATGTGTTGTTCAAACTATAGGTAAGCAATTTGCTATAGCTGAGCCAAAGCGTCAAGATTGAGGTTGCCAGATTTTTATACAGCAGAGACTGTCATAATAACATTCAGCGCGCGATGTGAATCACGTAGAGAATTGAGTTTTCATGAGCGGGTGGTTTAAATTCACGTATCAAGAATCGTTAAATATCTTTGGAAGGAGTTGAATTCGGCAATTTTCGTTGTGCGCGTTGTATTCTACGTGAAATTTTAGTTACGAATCATGTATCAGAATGCTGAAATTCGTACCTTGTCTAATGGTCCATTACGTTTATACTAGGGGGCTGTGCCGCATGGCCGCTACGCGGCCCATCCCACAAAGGGCGCTTCGCGTTATCTTAGGCACACGTCGACAAAAGAACAAACCAAAAAAATGAAACGATTTCCTTACCCGACTCTCCTTTATCCAATCTCTCTCTAGCCGGGAGCAATTGAACCAATAAGAATCGAATGAAAAAATCGGCATATATTTCAAACCTCACGCCAAGACTGCAACGAAACGGAACGGAGCGTTTCGTCACTTTTGGATAGTCTGTAGCAAAGAAGAATACCTTCGATCATTTACTCTACTGACAGACCAAGATTTAACATTTCCCGCTTATTTCAAATTTTGCCCCCCCCCTCTCTCTCTAAGCTTTCTGATCTCCTCAATATGAACAAAACCTGTGTCCTATTTTCAAGTTCTGATTAGAGCGGGCTCATCTAGGGACTATCTCCTGTTGATAACCGCCAAAATCATGGAAATCAACCCAGTAGAACGCTCAAACGAACTATGACAAAAAAGAAAAAATTACATTGGTTAAATGGGAAAATTCGCAACTTTACCACGTAATATAAAAAACCTGGGTAATATTTTCAAAAGCAAAATAAAGCGGGCTCATGTAGAGACAATTGTCTGTCGATAGCCGCAAAAATCATGAAAATCGGCCCGATAGAACGCTAGAACTAAGCGTTACCAGATACGCAAATTTAGGAGGTCTCGGAGCTTATAGTATAGATATGTTGAAGGATAGGGACTTCCGTTGCCATAGCGTTACAGGGGGGGGGGGGGGTTAAATGCCGAAAAAAAGTGTAACGTAATTTAGGGACGGTCCCTAACGGTTAAACCGCCAGACTGTAGAAGCGTTCTACGGGTCAAAGCTAGACTCTCTATTTGTATGAATTTTTTTCCAAAATTGCTTTTTAAGGGTGCCACAGCCCCTCTTCCTCGATGTCTTCGTAAATAAATAATTTTTCGTATGCATTTTGGCATCGATAATGCACCGATTGCCATGAAAATTCGTATGCACCCATAATTCGATACGCTGAGTTCATTGATGGCAATAGAAAAGTCGGAATTCGGGGAATTTGAGAGAGGGTAGCCTTAAATGGGCCAATGATTTGGTTTTCTGTGGGTATGCAGAAATGGTATTTTCTAGACCCCCTGAAACTCTCCAAAACCCTATTTTTCACTGAAATCCAAACTTCTAAATTCAGCGTATCAAATTATGGGAGTATACCAATTTTTATGAGATTTGGCGCATTACCGTTGCCAAAATGGCGGAAAAACGATTCATTTCTTAGAACTTTGGGATAGCTTTGCCCCGCCTGAAAATCACTTTTAAAAAACAATTTATAGGAGAAATAACTTTAACCATAGAATCGCTCCTGCAGTCCGTCGGTCGAACCTTCGATCACCCTGTATAAGCATAAGTATTCTTGAATCCCCCCCTCATCAAGTCACTAAAATATAAAATTGTTTGTACTGAGTCAATTTCTGCATGATATGGTATAAGCAATCCTCCCTTCGATGTTAAGGTGATTCGATGGACGCCATATTTTGTGTCAGAACGGCATGCGATATATCGCATAAATTGGTTCCATTTTTTCAGCTACTCGTCATTTTTCTCCAATTTTGAGATCGCAATTCTGTTGTCAGGAGACTAAGGCACTCACTTACCAATTTTAACGAAGAAATTCAACGTAATAAAGGCGTGGTTTTTTTAGAGAGGAAATATCGCATTCGAGTGCAGTTCCGATATTAGTATCGAATGCGATGTTTTCTCTCTGAAAAAACCACGTCTTCATTGCGTTGAATTTCTTCGTTAAAATTGGTAAGTGAGTGCTTTAGTCTCCTGACAACAGAATTGCGATCTCAAAATTGGAGAAAAATGACGAGTAGCTGAAAAAATGGAACCAATTTATGCGATATATCGCATGCCGTTCTGACACAAAATATGGCGTCCGTCGAATCACCTTAACTGAAAGTTAATTGCACATTAATAAAGATGTGCAGACTGAAACTTCCGCGGAAAATTTTGGGAGACATTGCAAACTTCTCTCCCCAAA